AGTTCGAATTTCGTGAAAATTGGCCCAAAACTGACAGACAAAATGGCTGCCGTTCGTTCTCAAATAGTGTAAAAATATGGTATATCAAGGTTGTGGACCCTATAGAGGTCACAATTTTAATCCTATTTTGATGAAACTTGAAATGTAAGTTTATAACCCAAAGATCTCGATTGCTTTCGATATTCGTGCATTTCGGACCGTAACTTCCTGAATTATAGCCCCTGTTTGTACGAAAAATCTCGTTTTCATCTTGTGGACCCTATAGACTCATAATTTTTATCTGATTTTTAAAAAAAATGTATTATTATATCACCGTTACACCCTAAGGACGGCTAAGTTCGAATTTCGTGAAAATCGGCCCAAAACTGACAGACAAAATGACTGCCGTTCGTTCTCAAATAGCGTAAAAATATGGTATATCAAGGTTGTGGACACTATAGAGGTCACAATTTTTATCCGATTTTGTTGAAACTTGAAATCTAAGTTCATAATCCAAAGAATTCGGTTCCTTTAGATATTCGCGCATATCGGACCGTAACTTCCTGAATTATGGCCCCTGATTGTACCAAAAATCATGTTTTTAGCTTGTGGACCCTATAGAGGTCATAATTTTTATCCGATTTAAAAAAACGTTCAATTATATCCCCAATTATATCCCCGTTACACCCAAAGGTTGGCTGAGTTTGAATTTCGTGAAAATCAGCCCGAAATTGACAGACAAAATGGCCGCCGTTCGTTCTCAAATAGCGTAAAAATATGGTATATCAATGTTGTGGACACTATAGAGGTCACAATAATTTTTATCCGATTTTGTTGAAACTTGAAATCTAAGTTGATAATCCAAAGATCTCGGTTCCTTTCGATATTCGCGCATATCGGACCGTAACTTCCTGAATTATGGCCCCTGATTGTACCAAAAATCGTGTTTTTAGTTTGTGGACCTTATAGAGGTCATAATTTAAAAAAACGTTCAATTATATCACCGTTACACCCAAAGGTTGGCTGAGTTCGAATTTCGTGAAAATCGGCCCAAAACTGACAGACAAAATGACCGCCGTTCGTTCTCAAATAGCGTAAAAATATGGTATATCAAGGTTGTGGACACTATAGAGGTCACAATTTTTATCCGATTTTGTTGAAACTTGAAATCTAAGTTGATAATCCAAAGATCTCGGTTCTTTTCGATATTCGCGCATATCGGACCGTAACTTCCTGAATTATGGCCCCTGATTGTACCAAAAATCGCGTTTTTAGCTTGTGGACCCTATAGAGGTCATAATTTTTATCCGATTTAAAAAAACGTTCAATTATATCACCGTTACACCCTAAGGATGGCTGAGTTCGAATTTTCTGAAAATTGGCCCAAAACTGACAGACAAAATGGCCGCCGTTCGTTCTCAAATAGCGTAAAAATATGGTATATCAATGTTGTGGACACTATAGAGGTCACAATTTTTATCCGATTTTGTTGAAACTTGAAATCTAAGTTGATAATCCAAAGATCTCGGTTCCTTTTGATATTCGCACATATCTGACCGTAACTTCCTGAATTATGGCCCCTGATTGTACCAAAAATCGCGTTTTTAGCTTGTAGACCCTATAGAGGTCATAATTTTTATCCGATTTAAAAAAACGTATTATTATATCACCGTTATACCCTAAGGATGGCTGAGTTCGAATTTTGTGAAAATCGGCCCATAATTGACAGACAAAATGGCCGCCGTTCGTTCTCAAATAGCGTAAAAGTATGGTATATCAAGGTTGTGGACACTATAGAGGTCACAATTTTTATCCGATTTTGTTGAAACTTGAAATGTAAGTTTATAACCCAAAGATCTCAGTTCCTTTCGATATTCACGCATATCAAATTGTAATTTCCTGAATTATGGCCCTTGATTGTAGGAAAAATCACTTTCTTGTTAGCTTGTTCTCTATCCATCTCTCGAAAATGTGGGCGTATCCTGCCTGGCAGCCGCTGGTTATCCGATTTTGTTGAAACTTGAAATGTAAGTTTATAACCAAAGATCTCGGTTCCTTTCGATGGTCACGCATGTCGGACCGTAACTTCCTGAATTATGGCCCCTGATTGTACGAAAAATCACGTTTTTAGCTTGTGGACCCTATAGAGGTCATAATTTCTATCCGATTTAAAAAATCGTTTTAGTATATCACCATTACACCCTAAGGATAGTTGAGTTCGAATTTCGTAAATATCGGACCAAAGCTGACAGACAAAATGGCCGCCCCTCGTACTCAAATAGTGTCAAAATATGGTATATCAATGTTGTGGATCCTCTCGAGGTCACATTTTTCTTTTGACTTATATGAAACTTGAAATGTAAGTTAATAACCCAAAGATCTTGGTTCCTTTCGATATTCGGCATATCGGATAGTAACTTCGTGAATTATGGCCCTTGATTGTACGAAAAATCGCGTTTTTAGCTTGTGGTCCTTGTAGAGGTCACAATTTTTATCTGATTTAAAAAAAATGTGTAAATATATCACCATTACACACTAAAATCATGGATCCTTTTGATAATCGCGGATACCCGAACTTAACTTAGTGGATTATGGCCTCTGATTGTTCGAAAAATGGCATTTCTAGCTTGGGGATTCTCTACAGATCACAATTTTTTTCCGATTTTAAATATTTCACCATTTCACCATAATGAAGGTTGAATCCGAATTTCGGGAAAATCGAAATGAAACTGCCCAACAAAATGCCCGTTCTTTGTTCGCAAATTGTGTAAAAGTATGCAATACGAAGGTTGTCAACCCTCTAAGGGTCACAATTTTTGTCCGATTCTGATGAAACTTAAATCATATCTTTATATCCCAAAGATCTCAGTCCTTTTTGATATTTGCGCATTTCAGACCATAACTTTCTGGATTATTGCCCCTGATTGTACAAAAAATCCTGTTTGTTTTTAGCTTGTTCTCTATCCATCCCTTGCAAAATGTGGAAATATCCTGCCTGGCAGCTACTGGTTCCTTTTTATGTAAATGTCAATGACAAATTTTAGGGGGGAATGTGTTAAGAAAATAGTCTTATCAGTAAAACATAAAAATACAGTCCTGATGAGTAAAGGGAGACAACTCCACTTTACAAGTAAATAGAGTTGTCTCGCGCTTAAATTTTGTTTACTGACCACGTTTTTTCAAGTGTAGTCTGTAAAGTGAAGACTGAATAAAACATATTATATTCCTAGATACAGAGTTTAGATGGCGTCATTTGTTCCTACACACTCTCTGAGTATAGCTGATGTATAGAGTGTTTTACAGAATCTTTGAAAAAAATAACAGTTAATGGCTTGTCCACAAATAAAATGCGGTTTAGTAGCCAGCTATCCGAAAGAAACTACAATAGCAGGGAGTGTCTCTATTCTTCCCGTTCAATCAAATCTCTCCTAAGTACAGCAACATGACAGCCCTTCGTTTAATCTGGGGTCTTCCCTAAAACTTTGGACAGTGATTTAAGGTATTAAAAATGGTGAAAGTATTGTTCATGTCCAAACAGTATTGTTTACATTGTAACCGTTTTGATAGCCTCATTTGTCACGCAATTAGTTTTTCTGCAATATTCTGCTATGCACTGGTTAGTTGGCCGTAAACATACTTGGAGCTCTGTTTAAAGTAGCTAAGTCTCTAACCCAATATCATCCAAAGTCTTCGACATTGAAAACACACATTATTTGTCAATTTACATCAACATTGATGTTGTGATCTTACCTAGAAAAGATGGCCTTCTGATATCCAATATTTAAGACAAAATAAACATTTTACCATTCATGTATCATAATGCCTTTAAATTTATACACAGTGTTTTAGGTCATGAGACGAAGAAACCTATTGATTTTCAACTATTTTCAATAATTACTGCCAGAGTTTTAGTCCTTGACATGTTTGAAAAGTCTTGTAGTAGCTCTTGAGGCTAAAGTTAATATCAGATTGACTTTAAACTTATACACAGTGTTTAAGGTCATGATTTCAGATGCCTATTTTTTTTCAGCGATTTCCGATAGTTGCTGCCAGAAATATCTTGTTTATGCTCTAGAGGCTAAAGTTAATATCCGATTGACTTTAAATTTATACACAGGGTTTATGGCCATGATTTTCAACTATTTTCAATAATTACTGCTAGAGTTTTAGTCCTTGACATATTTGAAAAGTCTTGTAGATAGAAGCTCTTGAGGCTAAAGTTAATATCAGATTGACTTTAAACTTAAGGTCATGAGACAAAGTATCCTATTAATTTTCAACGATTTCAGATAACTTCTGCCAGAGTCAATGCCCTTGATCACTTTGAAAAACCTTGTGAACACTCTAGAGGCTAAAACTCCATTCATTCATTTACTCTAGAGGCTAAAGTTAATGTAAATTGTTTAAGGTCATGAGACAAACAATCAAAATATATTCTAATGTTTTCTGATAATTACTTCATGGGATATTACTCGTCATCAGATTTTCATGTGTTGTAAATGTTCTCATTACTGGCAAAAGAAAAAATATGCGTCAACACTTATTCACTGCCCGGATGACTTAGCTGCTGTGGGCGTATGTTTCGTTGCCTTGCAACCTATCTTTTAGCTTAAAAGACCCTCAAATATATCACTGTTGCACCATAATTACGGTTGATTTCATATTTCCTGAAAATCAGATGGAGACATGATTATCTAATTAATACTGCCTATTATCAACAATAATCGAGATGAGTACTAGTTATACACACAGTACATTCAATATATTTTGGAATTTTGAACATTATTCGCAATCTCTTGATGTCCGATTGGGCATGTTCCTGGGCAGGTTTGGAAAATTGTATAGGACATGTCCAGAATATACGAGCGAAATAGCATCCCTGCAGTCTAAAAGCTGTATTTGATTTTCTCCTGAGATTCTCAAACAACAAGGCCAAGATGGGATAGTATAGTGTGAATCATTTATGAATATTGACATAATATTTTGCATGTGTTTTCAAAGATTATTTGTTTTATTTGAAGGTGACACAACCTAAAACAGACAAAAGTATTGCCATGACTGTTGGGATATCAGAAGCTTCTGATAGTGAAATAGTTAGCTTAACAGATGAAGCAACTAAACAGGTGAGGACAAAATTAAGATCCATATATTTGTTTCGTTTTAATGATATATCACTTTTCAATTTTCATGTGGTTGTATATTGTCATCATACCTGTCCATTCCTTTCTAGATGACCGGAGAATGCATTTGACACAATATTTTTGATAATATAAAAGATAGGTTGCCAGGCAACGAAACATATGCCCACAGCAGCTAAATCGTCCGGGCAGTCAACAAGAGTTGTCGCATATTTTTACTTTTTTCGGTAATGAAACATTTATAATACACTAAAATCTGATTAAGAGCAACTACTCGGAAAACCATTAGAATTTGTTTGGTTTTTATAAAGTTCTGCCCCATGCTAACGTTTTGTATACAAAACTTTTAATACTGTATCATGAATTTAGCTGTTCCAAGTCATAAAAATTCATTGAAAATCAATATACTTGTTCGTCTCAAGATCTTCAACTCTGTGTATCAATCTGCAGTCAATCGGATATTAACTTTGACCTCTAGAGCGTCCACAAGATTTTTCAAAGTGATCAAGGGCCATAACTTTGTCAGTAATTATCAGAAATATTTGAAAATCAATAGGATTCTTCGCCTCGTGACCTCAAACACTGTGTAAATTTAATGTCAATCAGATATTAACTTTAGCCTTTAGAGCATCCACAAGGTTTTTTGAAGTGATCAAGAGCCATAACTCTGGCAGTAATTATCGGAAATCGCTGAAAATCAAAAGGCTTCTTCGTCTCATGACCTTAAACACTGTGTATAAATTTAAAGTCAATCGGATATTAACTTTCGCCTCTAGAGCGTCCACAAGATTTTTTGAAGTGATCAAGGGCCATAACTCTGGCAGTAATTATCGGAAATCGCTGAAAATCAAAAGGCTTCTTCGTCTCATGACCTTAAACACTGTGTATAAATTTAAAGTCAATCGGATATTAACTTTCGCCTCTAGAGCGTCCACAAGATTTTTTGAAGTGATCAAGGGCCATAACTCTGGCAGTAATTATCGGAAATCGCTGAATATCAATAGGCTTCTTCATCTCATGACCTTAAACACTGTGTATAAATTTAAAGTCATTCAGATATTAACTTTGGCCTCTAGAGCGTCAACAAGATTTTTTGAAGTGATCAAGGGCCATAACTCTGGCAGTAATTATTGGAAATCGCTGAAAATCAATAGGCTTCTTCGTCTCATGACCTTAAATACTGTGTATAAATTTAAAGTCAATCGGATATTAACTTTGGCCTCTAGAGCGTCGACAAGAATTTTTGAAGTGGTCAAGGACTATAACTCTGGCAGTAATTATCGGAAATCACTGAAAATCAATAGGCTTCTTCGTCTCATGACCTTAAACACTGTGTATAAATTTAAAGTCAATCAGATATTAACTTTGGCCTCTAGAGCGTCCACAAGATTTTTTGAAGTGATCAAGGGCCATAACTCTGGCAGTAATTATTGGAAATCACTGAAAATCAATAGGCTTCTTCGTCTCATGGCCTTAAACACTGTATATGAATTTAAAGTCAATCGGATATTAACTTTAGCCTCTAGAGCGTCCACAAGCAATTGTGGATGCCGGACCGACAGACGGACGGACGGGGGTGACGACAATATACGACCACATTTCAATGTGGCCGTATAAAAATAAAGTTAAATAGCCTCCCACATAACATCATGACATTAAATTTACGTAAAAATGGTCAGTCAGTTTACCATCATTTTGCTCATCTTAACGATAATTTTATGTCATAAAATGACATTAATCTAATGTAAAGTTTACGTTACATTTACGTCATTTTCGGACGTAAAACTAAGGTAAATGTTGCATAAAGTTTACTTCACTTACATTAGATTTACGTCAGAAAATGACATAAGCTTTACGTTAGATTTACTTCAGAAAATGACGTAAATAGAATGTAAAAATGACGTAAACTTTAAATTAGATTAACGTCATTTGCTGACGTAAAATTATCGTTAAAAAGATGAGCAAAATCGAAGCTATAGTGGTTCAATGAGTATGAATTGGCTCCGTACTTGACTGCTGTGTTGGCCGATAAAGTTCATCAGGACTTTCCGGTGTGTTTCACTTGTCATGTACGTACTGTGTACACATTGGGGTGCACATAAAAGAACCCTTAAAGATGGGTGATTCAATAGTATATATGGACTAAAACATATTCAAATCAAACTAATTAATTTGTCATAACTTTGCTTCAAATGCTTCTCAAACATTGTCATTGTGAAGGAATGTCCTGCTATAAAAATTTGATAAAACCAGGTCATGTCTATGTCACGCATACTCCTCGCAGTGTTCCGTTTGATTAGACCTAATCCCACTACTCACTGCTGTACAGAGTGCACATTCTTGTTCTAAATTCTGACTGGTCAATAGTCCCATTAACAACCAATGACTACCTGTGAAACAAAATCAATCGGGGTTAACCAGACCTTTAAATATGTTACCGCAATGTGTCTGTTGACAATCGCGACTAGTTTACGTCATAACGCGCGAAATTTATTATGTTAGATTATGCAGCGCGAAGCAGAATATTGCAGAAAAATTAATTGTTTGACAAACGAGTCTACACAAAATGGCTGCAAATGTCAACATTGCCACATGTAGAATCTGCTTTTCTTCTGTTGGACCACCCAGCAGGCGATTAATATTTTCACCATCATTTGTTACATTTAATCAACTGTCAGAAGTCTTAGGAAAGACCCCACATGAACGAGACGGACTGTCATGCTACATATGTATTAGTTGTTTCAACACATTGAATCGAATACAACGAGTCGACTTCGACTTGCAACATAAAATGGAATCTCTTCGGGCGGTAAGTTAACTATATTCAGCTTAAAAACAAACATCATACATATTTTTATATTTTTTGTTAGTTATTGCTGAGCTCATGATACATGAATTGAAGTGTTGAGCTACTCAGTAAAAATAAATATTGTCTGAATGTAAACGGTAGATCTAAATTATTAATATTATAATCTTTCTTGACAGCTAAAAATTAAAGTAAAAATTTAATTGATAAATTTGATGATTAATTTACAGTTTTAATTTCTATTATATGAAATCAAATATTTTCAGTCAAGAATAGAAATCATATCACTATTGAGGGCCAAAATGTTAGGACAGTCTACATCATCTGTGACAAGTCCACAATTGTTATCAACTCTATTACCAGGTAGGCCTATGACTATGTATTAGCAAAGTATATATATTCTTGCTCAAAAAATAAAATCAGGTAGCCTACTGTACTAATAAAAGATTGACTTTACAAACTACAAGAAAAATGTTAATTCCCAACCACCTTTATATGTACCGGTAAATGGAGGAAAAAAAGTGTAAATTATAATATTTGCATTTGTTTAAATGTAAATTAGGTATTGTTTTATTTCAGTTTCTAGAATGCCTTCAAAAATACTTCCCAAAGAAACTATTGTGCCTCAAACAAAACCTGTAGCACACGCTTCACTATCATTTTCTAGAATGCCTGTAAAGATTTCTCCCAGAGAAACTATTGTGCCTCAAACAACACCTGTGCTGCAAGCTTCACTATCAGGTAATATTACTGTCATTCAGGCTATTCATGACAACAAATAATTCATGATGACAGTGTAGGCCTAGCGTAGGTTACAAATCATTTTGCTTTATCTTAGTTTGGATTGTGTTGACCAAATATATAAATGTTACTTGTTAAGGTATGGAAAATTTGTTGAAAGCTTAATGTGACCAAATCCGAATTTGTGTATCATTTATCATCGAAACTGTAAATGTTGGTTAATTGAGGTATGTTTTTTTTTAAAAATGTTTTCCAGCACCCAGAAGTGTACTGCCTAGGGCAAGCTCTAGTGACATAAATACTCGTATTATTCCACAAATAGTCTATACAACACCAAAGAAATCCCCCAAAGCATCAATGAAGCGGCCTTCAATTAGACTGACTCCAACCCCAAGACAGAATAAAAAACAGCAAGTTACTCAGAGGAAAGGTCCTGCAACAGGTTTACGTGTTGAACTGTTTGGTAAATCTACAGTAAGTCTTTAAAAAATATGTTGATAAATATTTTGTCTCTATCAGCTTCTCCCCTCCCCCCGTCCCAAATAGAAAAAAGGCCTCGCATTAAACTATTCATCTATAACGTCATACAAATTCTATGATTGGTAGTATATTATAACTATGTTTATTGTTTCAGAATGAAGAAGAAGATATATCTTTGTCTCCCCTAGAAAGTGAATTAGGAATTTGTGCACAGCCTATGAGTGTAGAAGAATCCGAAAAGGCACAAAAAGCTAAAAGGTCGTTAGTTGTGGGACATATGAGAGTAAGTATTTTTTAAACCGAGATAGAGAAATTAAATTTTATGTCCACTCGACACAAACTAGGTCATTTCGGGACTAACATATGGTTCAATATTATTTCAATAATTTGCTAGCGCGTAAAGGTCTTTAGCAGTACGTGGGAGGTTGGACAGGCGACCCTACTCCTTGTTATGTATGAGCGGGGAATTTAAACCACACCACTTGACTCAATGACAGACCTTATAATACAACGCGTTAACCATTCTACCACCCAACCCCCTAAGTATTTTTAAGCCACTTGTAGAAATAAAAAGAATCTTGCGGTACCAGTATTTTTGAAGCTTGTGCAACAACAAAATTTAGTGTATATTTCTTATAAAGAGAACAACATGATGATATCAAAATGCGTAAATAACAATATGTTAATATTATGTAACTTTAACTGCAGTCTCCTTTTTTTCAGGTTTTGCATAAGGATGATAGCTCAACTACAACTAAGAGTCGTGTTATAAAAGAGGATGAAATGAAGAAGATTATCAAATCAATTGCTAGGAGAGATACAGCCGATTGCATTGCTAAAAAGCTTTTTAAATCAAATCTAAAAGAAAGCTTGATTAAAACTTTTATTAAAGATCTTGATACCTCTTGCAAAAAAATATGCTCAAGAACCTTTAATTCAAAATTACGTGAAATCACACCAGAAAGAATGAAATATATAAGTTTAAATGATATTGCTTTTGAATTTCAAGTGGATTCACCATTACTGTATGAAACTTTACAGTGCTTGACAAAAGGTAGCCCATAAGACATCGCCATTAATGGGGCGATGTCATTATTTTCAAGAAATAACAACATGTCATTGGTACATCATGTTGTTGGACAGGTATTGGATCACAGTGGAACTACAGATGAGGTTACTATATGTTATCAATTTAAATAAACCCAAATTCCATAAAGAGAAAAGAACACAAACAGCTGATTAATCATAAAGCATTTTAAATTATGGCTCAGTATAGTTCTACCTTAAATCCTCTTGTCTTGGCCTTACATGTTTTATTTTTCCAGAAGAAAGAAAGACCTACAAATAAATTGATCTTTTATTGTATCAATATTCAACTAGATTTTGTAGATATTAATATTATTTTTTTTTTAGACATTAGGCATTATGAATCATATGGGCTTGACGGTTTCCACTTCAAGTATCCATAAACAGAAGAAGAACATTCAGACATATCATGAAATACATATCAAGGAAATGTTTAAAGTTCCTGAATTAGGTAGGTCACATAACATTGAGGTGATAGGTGATAATGTTGATATAACAAGAAATCCTTCCCAGATGAGCAAAGAACGTCGTAGGAAGAGTTGGCATTGGTTTTTGTTATTGGGAATCGAAAAAAGAGTTTTATTTCCAACTCTTCCTGACAGTAAACCGAAAGCTGACATTTTGTCAGTACCAAATGCAGACTTTATTCCAAATGAATTAGATTGTAAAAGTTTGGAGGAGAATTTTATATTCCATATCATGCACATTTTAGCAAGGTATGTGCCATTTTTCCAGAACTTTAAATTATGCTTACCTTCTTCAATACCTCATGCACATGAAAAAGAAACATCACAGAAGTCAGAGTATGCAATCCTGGACATGCTGGACAAAAGCGAAAATAAATCTGATGAAATGATTGCTATACTGGAACATGTTCACAACAACTATATACCTCAAACTGGGACCCCTCCATCTGTTGTAAAAAAATTAGTTTTTGGTGGTGATTGTCTTACCAATGAACGTGCTTACTCATCACAAACAGCCATGTTGGCCCATTCAACTGATAGTGACAGATTAGCTGGAGTTATTCACAGACCTGAGGGTTTACATCGAATGATGAATCTCTGTTTGGTATTCCTAGAATTATCGTTAAAGTTTGATCTTTGGTTCAGTTTATAGTTCGTTATTTATTCTGGACAAAGTTAGTCCATCATGTTAGCAAAGACGTTCAGAGTGAGTCATGCTTTATTATTTCGTACAGCAATTTGAATGACTTAATATTATAAATAACATCTATTCTAAATAGTGCAACAAAGCAATTGCTATCTAATTTAAAAATAATAAAAAAATAAAAATGGCAGTGCCATGATAGCATTTTGCAAATAGAGCCATTATATATATAGATTTGTTTTGCATGCAATTGAGAGTTTGTTGTTTTAAGTTATAAACTCTCATCTCCACAAAGAAAATGGAGATTTTCAATTTTGTTCAAATCATTCCTTCATTTTGTTTCTTGCATGTTGTTGCTTGAATTATTCAAGAGTTATTTTTGAAAGTTCTAAAGATTAAGTTCATACACATTCAAAGTAAGCTTACTAAAAATCATTGATGTTCAGCTATCAATAATTCACAAATCATAGTTTTAACATTTTGACCATAGATATAATAATAATTCTGAGTATATATTTCACGCTGCCAAGCCAATTATAATATTCATTGGTCTTTTTCTGATTTCCTTAATATTACTGTAATACAGTAACTATTTCCAGTTTCATTGTAATACAGTTGTCATAATCCCGATAATTCTTGGTCCCTTTTTGCACCTTGTTTTTAGAATGAAAATGAATTTTTAAAATATAGAGAACTAAAACAATTATTCATACGCTGTTCTGTTTTATTAATTAAACCTGCATGCCACCAATATGTGCAATTACTTTTATCTACCTTAAATAATCATGTTTCTATGTTATTTTGGGCTAATAATCAAAAAATGAGCATTACTTGGTAGCCTAATTATTGCATAATTTTTATTGTATTATTGATTTTTGACCTTAAAATCTTTGCAGCTGACTAAAGATGACATATATTTTTAGATAATGTTTTTCTTTATTCAAATAATAGTTGATAACTGGATTCTCATTCTAATCGTGTTTGTATAGTCTAAATAGTCATTTATCCCAGTTATTGTATAATTTTAGTTTATTAATTATACATTTTAGTTTATTTATCAACAATTTTACAAGCATACTTGGGAGGGTTGATGTTCATGGTCCAGATGAAGTAATTGGAAAATATAGGTACATGTATTCTTTTTGTAATAAATTAATTTTGTATTATTTATATAGAATAGTTACCATCGTATAAGATTTCATAAATGATATTTAGAATTTTTTTACAAATATCAGATCACGCACTGCAGGAATCACTGGGAGACAGTCCCATATTGCAGTCAAAAACTAAGTTAGGATACAATGTCTTTGCAGCTCTAGTTACATAGTTTGATTGAATGTTACAGTCTTTCTAAACTTGTTTCAGGAGCCACTATTCGTTTATTCAGGATTGTCTTGATGGATATGTTGTGGCCGCATGCATGGAATTATTAAATCTGCCTGAACTGCATAGTGAAGCCGGAGTCAAACCACCACCTTTGTTCAATATAAATGACACCAGTCGATATCAGTACATTTATAGTGTTGCCAGAGATATATTGGAGAAATTTATTAAATTATCAGATGGTAAGTAAATCCCAATAATATCTTAAAAGTTATAACATTTTCATGTAATATTGTTTATTTTTGTCTTGATAAACAAAAGGTTCTGTATAATGTATATTGCTTTCATTATTGAAAACACAAGGAATGACCAGGTGTGCATATTATTTATTCACATGTGTACTGTTTACTAACGAGACAAATACAGAAACACAACTTAAATGTATTTAATCATGTCGTTAATCTCTATATTGTATCTTTGAAATCATTTCAGATATAAAAGATATTACAGTACAAAATGCATCAATGGAATCAGAATCCGAAGTGTACTCAGAAAAATTTAACAAAGATTTAAATCGATATGTCTGTGATTGTGGCCAGAGATACAAAACAAAGGGATTTTTCAAAAAGCGTCTTCAAACTAAGCATGATCTTCTCCCTGACTTAGTTTCTGAAAAAACACAGGAAGATGGCATTAGTTTATTTCGATCATCGTTTATGAAATGTGTGTTACTTTTAAGGGATACTAATGATGCCTATCGTCAGGGAGATGGATTCAGGATTGAAAGGAACGCAAAATTTGAAATGTTGCTGGCAGATGTTGGTCATCACTATAAATATAAATTATGGCTTTTCCGCTTTAATGCCTGTATAACCGCTTTGCTTACAGAAAGAGAAGCGGAAGAATACAAATGGAACTGCACAACAAATACTGCAGGTGGCATTGGTAAAAACATTCCAAATGACAATCTTGTGGAGTTGACTGTTCAAGCCGTGAAGAAAAAAGTTCAGTCACAGGGAGCAAATGCCACTTTTGACAGTGCTAGGAAAGCCTCTTTAGGTATCAAAACCCAGAATTTAATCAAACAGAACATCATGGATGAATCTAGGACCAAACAGTCTGGTACCTCAAGGCCTACAGTTTTAAAAGAAAATGACATCATAGCAATTATTAACCAGTGCAAAAGATCTGAAATGTTTACTAGAGAAAATATCCCAGGGCGCGAATTTGGTGGATTTAAGAAGTTTACTGATGTGTTCAAGAAAGTTAAAATGGAAAACCTCCATAAATGGTTAACTTACCAAAAGAAACGTATTTCTGTTGAAATGTTTTGAAATGTTGGTTAGATCTTAGACAAAATGTTTTTAATGGTGTAAGAAAAAGTGCACAGAATGGCCAAAGTCATTAAATTGCTATTGTAGTAGGAGATAGTAGAAAACTCTTTGATAATTATTTATATGCAATTTTATACACCCATATTTTAATGTTAACATGTATTAACCTCGAGTTCATTCATCCACAATTGTGAAGTTTTGGCTGGTACTGATTGTGAACATAATATAGGTGTGATTGTTTATTGGGACATAAAAAGGTACCTTTAATGACATTTCAGATATCATAATACCCGACAGAGGTCTTTATGGAAATTTTTAAAACTCATTGAGATTGTTTTTAGCATTTATGTAGAATTCTTACTGTACTTGAATCATAAATTCCCCCACCCCTGCTTTAGGTTGCATGAATGCCACAAGCAATGAATTCCTGTTTTACAATATATTCCCTAAACTCATTCCAACATATGTAGATATAATGACCATTATTGTCCCTTATTAAAGCGTGGTCTGCACATACATGTAATCATGGATGAATATATACATGTATGAAAAGGAGATGAAAGATGCATTATGTAAGCTTTAGATCAAGAGTTGGTCGTTCTTGCTCTAATAGTTCCAAAATAGATAATTCAAAATTAACATATTGAAAATTTCATTCAAATTACTTTCCTCTGAGAGACGTTACCACTGTTTAAAGTTTTGATATAGATTGTTTATTATCGTAGCAACATTACTTGTTAATTGTGACTCGGCCTCTCTTCTCCAATTTGAAAATAAATCAATAAATAATGATCGTATTTTAATCTGTTTACATCTGCTCCATCGGTTGATCTAGAGAGTTGATTATAGGCTTGCAAATATCATTAAATGGCGATCATATTTTAATCTGTTTACATTTGTGCCATCTGATTATCTAGACAGTTGATTAAAGGATCGTCATGTGAATAAATGTCTAAATAATAGTTTATATAACATCTGAAGTCAAAATAAAACCCTGTAATTGCCAGATTTAGCTATTACAGAATTCATCTTTAATATTATATGTTCATGTTAAATATAGAGGTGGACAGCAGCATTTTTGACTATCTTCTCTGACTTTCAACTGCAACCAAGAGATCTGCACAAGTTACATGTACCACTTCATGCCTGGTACAGTTACTTCTGTTTTTTCATTTTGTCCGAACAAAGTAGACACACTTTTTTTCATCCGAACAAAGTAGACACACTTTTTTTCATCCGAACAAAGTAGACACACTTTTTTTTATCCAAACAAGTGGAAACAAACGGATCAGAACTCAAAATATTTTAATTATTAGTTCGTGCTACCAATATTGTACTATAAACTGACTTTTTGGTCAGCATATCTAAAGTATAGATGGGTTAGGCCATATCTTTGTGTCTTTCAAATTGTTCAAATACAGCTGATCGACATACATTGGATATACTTTCTACGATTAAAAAAGAAAGACTATGTTGAAAAGACCTGTTTATTTAATATTATCCACATACATGTATCTCATTTCAAATAGCCATGAAAAAGTAATATTCATTTAGATAATGTACATGTAGGGTTGGTCAGAAAGCTATATTTGAAAAGTACTTATCAAACTCAAAAACAATAAGACATTCCTTTTCAGATGTAATTAATATTTAAAATTATGTGATCATGTTTCACATAATCCAGTAAACCGTGAAAAGAAATATTTGAAACAAGGTTATAACATACATGTATCATAAGATAGGCACTAATAAAAGTTTTATGAAACCTCCTCATCGGTTTTATCGTAGTCTTCTTCTTCCATATTATATAATTTGGAGTCTCCAAAAACAACAGATATGATGTCACAAATTTTAGTTGCTAAATCATACGACCAACAGGGTACTTGTGTCAAAACATCTACAGGGGAGAATATCACATTGCACTTTTTAAGAACGTCTGTTATGATGTCATCTGTCAAAGTGTACATACATGTATGTGTGTCAATGATACTTGTATTGACATCTTCATCAGTTTTCAGTGACAATTGTAACCCTTTAAGCTGCTGTTCAAGAATATTTCTGTCTGCATCCAAAACTTCCCTCTCAAAATCAGTACCATCTTCGCTTTCAATTTCAGCAAATACAGGATGTGAAAGTGGGCAGACCGGATCACCACAATCACACAATTTTTCACACAAATCACAGCAGCGGTGCTTTGGATATATTGGAATAAAATGGCATAAATATGCCTCACATAAAACCTTATGCCTACAAACATCACCTCGTGCTAAATTCAGCAAATATGGTTCAACTTTTTTCATATGATTTTTATTTAGTTTGAGCAATATAAGTTCTTGGCTAAAACTCCCATCCCGACCTGCACGTCCCATCTGTTGCGCAAATGTGTCCATGTCACGTGGAAGTCCAAAATGAAGTACATTTTCAACGCCTTTAAAGTTTAC